CCAAAATTCGGACAAGTAAAAATTGCTTCTTGTTGCCCGACAGGACAACCAGATCTGAAAATAAGCGTCGAGGCCTGCTATGACTGTGGTATATATAATTCATACAGAGCTAGTAGTAGTAGTGTGTGGTTTACCCTATGACTATGAGGATTCAATCATCATTACATTTCTTTGCAGTTTTTTTCGATGTATATGGTTGTCAGATGAATGTCAATGACACGGAGATCGCCTGGTCCATTTTGAAACAGAGTTCCTTCCAGAAAACTATGGATGTAACTGAAGTATGTGGTTTGCACATTTAGGGTGTTTTGCCTAGAGTTTATGTTGATAAACTTATCAGGTTTCTAGAATTTCCATATTCACAATAAATGTCACACACATGCAATAACAGCCTGATGCACTAACAGAATTTTCGAGGAAACTCCATAGAAGACTCATTAGAAGGTAACTCCTTAAATTGCAGTAAGTGACTTCATGCAACTATGGTAATATGTACTACTTATGTGCTACTTGTGCTACTGTGCATTACACTTGCAGGCAGATGTTATTCTGGTCATGACCTGTTCAATCAGGGAGGGAGCTGAACAGAAAATCTGGAATCGCCTAGAGTATCTAAAAGCATTAAAAAGAAGAAGGGCTAAAACAAAGAGAAAGCATCCCATAAAGATTGGCATTTTGGGTAAATACCATACATTAGCTCTTACCTCCTATAATTATAATATAATAATATTATAATATCAATACGTCTTACTAATTTGAAGTTTTGGCAGGCCGTATGAGCATAACGAACAGTCACTTGCTACATTAGTGAACACTTGGCTCCATTGATTATGCTTCTGTTTATCCTGCTGATTATGATGCAGCTGTTCCGTTTGTACAGGCTGCATGGCAGAGAGACTGAAGACACAGATCTTGGAGCGAGAACAGCTGGTGGATCTAGTCGCTGGTCCGGATGCTTACCGTGATCTACCGCGAATGCTGGCCAGTGTCCATGCGGGTCAAACAGCGGTCAATGTGCTGCTCTCACAGGATGAGACATACGCAGATATTGCTCCTGTACAACTGACTGATAGTGCCACCGCTGCCTTTGTGTGAGTGCTAAGAAGCATTGACATGTGCACCATTTATTTTAGTTGCACTCCACTCATTTGTAATTCCTGTGAGTAATGGGTTCCTGGTAAGTCTGTGTATAAATGATAAGAATGAAACTGCAGGTGCCTGTCGGAAATATGACAATATGTAGGCTGCATGTCTAAGATGCTGTATTTTGCAAATGCCATTACTTAATATTTTCTGATATTACAGATCTATCATGCGAGGATGTGACAACATGTGCAGCTATTGTATTGTGCCATTCACCAGAGGGCGTGAGCGTAGTCGACCCATACAATCTATCCTGAATGAAGTGAAACAGTTGTCAGATCAGGTAAACAATTAATGACCTAGAATTTGAAATGAAAACACCATGGTATTAAAAATGTTGGAAAGGAAAAGATGAGTCTATAGTGCATTTCATTTAGCATATATAGTGTAGAGCATAGAGTGTAAGATTCTAATTAATAAATGCTGTTGTTAAATGTAACACATAGCATGTGAATTCAAATAGCCATGCACTTCAATGCCCTGAGTGTTCTAAAATTGTGTCCTAACTAGTAATAGATTGGTGAATCGCATTGATGAAATATGGTAAAAAAAAGGCCTCACATTAGAAATAGACTATTAAGATTTGCCACCCGTTTTAAGTTATTGGGATCTGCAGGGCATCAGGGAAGTGACATTGCTTGGGCAGAATGTCAACAGCTACAGGGATTTATCGCGTGGCAAGCAGTACACAGTGTCTGCGCCTAACACAGCGCCATCTACAGGCATGAGCCGAGGTTTTCAAACAGTGTACAAACCCAAGGTTGGAGGTATCAGGTATTATAGTGATATTATTAAGAGTTTTTATTTTATGGGGATGTGACAAGCTCTTCACCAAATACAATGCGATATATTTTGCAACCATATATCAAATGTAAATATGATGCTTGTAAATGTTACATTTGTGAACACTATAATAGTTGCTCGTTGATTCTGCTACAGGTTTGCAGAGCTGCTAGATGAAGTTTCACGGATCGACAAGGAGATGAGAATCCGATTCACATCACCTCATCCGAAAGACTTCCCAGACGAGGCAAGAAGTAGTGTGTTGTATGAGGGATGATGACGCATATATAGCAACTAGTAAATATCCTTCCTTACCAAAGATCCATATTGTTTAGAACGTATAGGTGCTCTCTGAGGTGTGTATGTATAGGTGATTTTTGTAGCAGTTAAATATATACACTTACTTTACCATGTAAACGCATTTATGTAATATTTATATAAACCATATAACATGGTGCAGATAAATCATGTAGCAATTAGCAGCAGTTTCTGCATTTCGTACTGATTTGTGTGGGAAATCTGAGGTAAATTCAACTGGTACAATTATTCCTCATAACTAGTAGTTAGAAGCTCAACTTTTTGTTGGGCATACTCGCAAGAAATGATCCCGTTTCTATTCATGATTCAGGGTGCGAAATTAGCACGAGTCCACAGTCAAATACTCCCCGATTTACTGGCGGACTCCCTGATTTGACATATGCAGAGTCCGTGTGACTCCCTGAAAATTCTGCTATACTATCTTGTTCATTCCAGAGCACGGCCTCACGGAATTACCGTATTTTTTCAGCAAATGTCCAAAGAAAATTTGGCAGATATGCAACCGCATGAATCCTCAAAATAAGCACATGCGTTATTGTTAATATCTGTAGTTTTGAATTTCAGACTGCGGACTCCCTCATTTTTCTGCAGACTCCCTTGTTCAAAAGTTAATTTCTACCTCTGATGATTGGTGCAGGTACTGTCTGTGGTCAAGGATACAGCAAACATTTGCAAGCAGCTCCATCTACCGGCACAGAGTGGAAACACTGGTGTATTAGAGTCAATGAGACGAGGGTACACCCGTGAAGCTTACATAGATCTAATTCACCATGTAAGGGAGATCCTGCCAGGTACACGATGAAGATATAAATAATTATATCGGACACAGCTAGCGTAACACAGAAACGTGTGAAAACGGGAGCAGCACACATCATCTGTTATATTGGGATTCATCCAGAAATCCAGAGTAATCATCAATTTTATTAAAACGACTAATGATCAACTGGTGGACGATTTTAGCATTACGTGCTTAGGAACTAGTTTTCATAAAATTTGCATGACAACCCAACAAAATGTTTATTTAACAGGTATGTATATAATCAGAATATATACATGCGGAATTTATGGAATTTACTCAGATTAGTCTAGTCGTGATTGGCATGATTATACTATGAGCAAGCAAAATAACTGCAATAGAGGATGGCATTGGTCAAATGAAATCTTCAAAAAATCGTAACTGATTAACCGATTTTGAAAGCAAATGTCTAGACGTCGACATAATTCATGATGATGCACACCACTAGTATCTGTATTTATAACGTATTATCTGGGGGTTAATAATGACGAAATAAATAATTTGTCATTATAAACTCTTGATATTATGCTATATAACTCATGCTGCTCCCACTTACATAGATGTATTTAGGTGTTTCTTTAATTAGCTTGGTCGGAGGAGCTGGTGCTCCCACTTACATAGATGTATTTAGGTGTTTCAGGCGTGTCCTAACAATGATGTGTACGCAACTGCGTGTCTGCATATCTGCGCCTAACAAATGTGGTACTACGCACGACTGAAATTTTACGTTTATAATCGTAGCAACAGACCTCAGATGAGCCCAGACGCTCTGCGGCTCTTGTTTAATTATCTATGTATATTCAGCTAATCAGAGCTGTTACTCCGAATGAGCTCATGCAATACCAATCACAAATACCCATGCTATTATTGCATATTGGTACTACAGTAAAATTTGCATAAGTCGTCATCGTCTTACTCGTCAATTCGCATAAGTCGTCATGGAAGTTAAAGTCCAGATTTTCTCTCATAATAAATCCATTGGAATAGCCCCGCCTAAGTCGTCATTTATAAGTCGTCATTATGTACAAGATGACGCCCTCAGACAGCTAGGTCCCATGTAATACAAACAACAGTAACTTCCCATCTGTAAGTCGTCATCAGAAATGCCAATGGCGCGCGCGCAGTGTACGGTCTAGGGGATGTGCGAGCTGGCTGTTGCAGCTCGCATTTTTTAGCTCGCACATCCCCCAGATTCCCCAGTATATTAAGCCCAATGCAGGGAGCGAAGTTAACGCGAGTCCGGAGTCAAATGCGCCCTGATTTGACATAATAATGCAGGAGTCCGCGTGACTCCCTGAAAATTCTGCTATACTAACTAGTTCGTTCCAGCTAAAGCACGGCATCGCGGAATTACCGTATTTTTTCAGCAAGTGTTCCAAGAAAATTTGGCAGACGTGCACCGCAAATGTCCTGCAACGTGCAAACGTGTAATCAACAGCTGGTGTTAAAGATAGCCAGCGTGTGCCGCGCTTGCCGCTAGTGCTTACGCTGTACACGTGCGTTATGGTCTACGTATAAGTCGACAAAATGCTAGTACAGGGCGCGAAATTAGCACTGGCTCACTGTCATATGCCGGCAAATTATTCGGAGGGCCGGAAACATCGGCAAAACACCGGCCGTCCGAGCCGGTGGTTAACGAGTACCTACATTTTTAGCTCACTTTGACATCGTCAAGATGAGCTATTGCCATGGGGTGTCGTCCGTCGTAGATCCGTCCGCCCGTATGTCCGTATGTCTGTCAACATTTGGCTACGGTCAACGATAACTCAAGAACCCTTTGACCCACATGTTTCAAATTGCATACAGTTGTTACTCCTATGGGAGAGATTTGAACGTCATATTTTGGAGCACGCCAGTCGACCTACTTTCGAGCCACGCCAACTTTTTGGCAAAAATGGAAATGGCCATCTAGATCGATTCATTCGATTTTGTTAAATTTACCTACCTACCTACCTAATCATACCTACGTGTAATACTGTGTTTCAGATTCTTTGTTACAGTAATTTGACTGGAATATTTTATTACTTTTATTTTCGCGATAATCGAAAACCAAAATGGCAATCATCTAGGCGTAGCGCCATCTCTCGCCCAGATTTCAGACTTTCAGATCTGAAACATTTATTTTCGCATCAAAACTAACCCTGAAACAAAACAGTAAAATTTCTATTAGTATAAAACAGGGAATAAAGGACTTTTGATCACATTTCGGTCCATCATAAATGAAACACATACAAAATTTTAAATATCATCTCCCTCTTCTATCACACCCAACGTGAGCTATAGTGTCATTGACACTTTCATTATTTATCTAGCATTAATGAGCAAATAGCCTATATTACTGTTTTACCTGAAGGATATCACTCCATAATTTATCAACATTTTACAAATTTGAAATCGAGAATGCAAGCGTGAAACATGACATTGATTTTCAAACAAAATTTGTGAGGGCTGGTAAATTATTGTGAGAGCTGGTAAAAAATTAAACGCCCTCTGGGCCGGTGCCAAAAAAATCTGAATTTTGTACCCTGTGGTATATATAATTCATACAGAGCTAGTAGTAGTAGTCGTCATCATAAAGAAAACACATACAGAGGGCCGCGTGGAACTTTAATAATAATCTCCGCTCATTCTATCACAACCCAACTGAGCTATAAGCATTAGACTTCTCATTATTTTAGCATTAATGAGCAAATAGCCTATATTACTGGTTTTACACTGAAGATATCACACCATAATTTATCAACATTTGAGACAATTGTGAAATGGAATGCAAGCCGGTGAACCATTGACAGTGATTTCAAAACAAAATTTGTGAGGCTGGCAATATTGTGAGATGGTAAAAAATAAACGCCCTCTGGCCAGTGCGCCAAAAAAAATTCTAATTGTACCCTGGTGGTTAATATAGATCAACATGAGCGTAGAGTAGTAGTGGTGTGGTTTTAACGCCTATACTATTGAGGATCTCAATTCTCATTACATTCTATGCAGTTTTTTCGATGTATATAGTGTCAAAATGCATGACTCTAATGATACGGAGATACGCGCTGGTCTCATTTTGAAAGCAGAGTCGCTTCCAGAAACTATGAATTGTAATGAAGTATTCTGGTTAATGTGTTTGCCACATTTAGGTGTTTGCCTAAGTTATGTTGATAAACTGTATCAGGTTTCAGAATTCCATATTCCAATAAATGTCGCACATGCAATAACAGCCTGATGCACTAACTAGAAATTTTCGAGGAAACCCATAGAAACTCATGTAGAGGATACTCTTAAATGCAGTAAGGACCATGCAACTATGAGTAATTAAGTACTCACCTATTGCTACTTGCTGTGCATAAACATCTTGCAGGCCTAGATGTAATCCTGTCATGACTGTCAACAGGGAGCGGACTGAAACAGAAAACTGAATCGCCTAAGGATCTAAAAGCGATTAAAAAATAGAAGCTCAAACAAAGAGAAAGCATCCATAAAGATAGCATTTTGTAAATACCATACATAGCCTCTTAACTTCTCTATAATATCAATATAAATCATTATAATATCAATAGGTGCTCTTACTATTGAAGTTGCGGCGCTGTAACTATAACGAACAGTCACCTTCACATTGTGAATACTTGGCTCCATTGAATTATGCTTACGTTAAGCCTGAGCTGATTAGAGCAGCTGTTAACCGTGACAGCTGCATGTGCAGATAGACTGAAGACACCAGATCTTGGAGCCGAGGCACACTGGTGCAGGCTCTAAGCGCGGTCCGGATGCTTACCTGTGATTACCAGCGAATAGCTGGCCAGCTGCCGATTGCGGGTCAAAACAGCGCTCAATGTGGCATGCCTCCCACAAGAATGAGACATACCAGAATATCTCCGTACAACTGACTGATATGCCCGGTGCCATTTGTGTGAGTGCTTAAGAAGCATTGACATGCCATCCATTTATATAGTTCTGCACTCCCCGGCATTTGTAATCCTGCGAGTATGGTTACCTGTAAGCTCTGGTATCAAATGATAAGAATGAAACTGCAGTGCCTGCGGAAAGATGACAAAGTACGCCTGGCATGTCTAAGTGCTTATTTCGGCAAATGCAATTACTAATATTCTGATATACAGTCTATTCAATGTCAGGATGTACAACATGTGGGCAGCTATGTATAGGCCATTCAGGCAGAGCGCGGGCGCAGTAGTCGAACCCATACAAATCTATCCCTGAAAGTGAAACAGTTGTCAGATCAGGTAAAAATTAGTGACGCTAGAATTGAAATGAAAACACCATGCGTATTAAAATGATGAAAGGAAAAAAGAAGTCTAATAGTGGACATCATTTAGCAATACATATCAGGTAGAAGCATAGAGTTAACGATTCTAATAAATGCGATTGTTAAATGTAACACACTAGCAGTGAATTCAAATAGGCTCATAAGCACCTCAACTGCCGCTCTTGAGTGTTCTAAAATGTGTCTAACTAGTAATAGATGGAATCGCATTAGATGAAATATGTAAAAAAAAGCCGCACATTAGAAATAGACTATAAGATTTGCGCACCGCCGTTATAAGTTTATTGGATCTGCAGGCATCAGGACGTGACACTTGCTAGGGGCAGAAGTCAACACTACAGAGATTTACACGTGCAAACAGTACACATGTCTGCACCCTAACACAGGCGCATCCTACTAGGCATGAGGCCGAGGTTTCAACAGGTAACAAACGCCAAGTGAGTATTCAAGGTAATAGCAATTATAAGATTTTTATTATGGGGAGGACAACTCCAGGCAAATACAATGCGATATATTTTGCATGCCATGATATCAAATGCTAAATTAATAATTTGCTGTAAAGTACATTGTGAAACACATACTAGTCTCGTTGTGATCTCTACAGTTGCAGAGCTGCTAGATAAGTTTCACGATCGAAAGGAGATGAGAATTCCCGACTCCACACTCACCCATCCGAAAGACTTCCCAGACGAGTCAAGAAGTTAGTGTGTGTAATGATGATTGACGACACATTATAACAACTATAAATATTCCTCCTACCCAAATCTAATATGTTTAGAAGTCTAAGGTGCTCTCTGAGCGTGTGTATCGTATAGGGTGATTTTTTGTAGGCAGTTAAATATTCACACTTACTTTACCAATGTAAACACATTCTATCTAATCATTTAATAGAACCATAAATAACATGGTGCAGATAAATATGTAGCAATAGGCAGTCAGTATCTCATTTCGACTGATTGTGTGGGAAATCCGAGTAAATTCAACTGTACATATTATTGCGCTCATAACTATAGGTTAGAAGCTCAACGTTTTTGGATACCGCAAAATGATCCCTTCATGCATGATTTCAGCGGCGAATCTTAGCACAGTTCAGACAAAATACATCACCCGATTACTGTCTGACTCCCTGAGTGACATATCAGGACCGTGTGACCTCCATGGAAATTCGCCTAACTATCTTGTTCATTTCCAGAGCACGCCTCAACATAATACCGGCATCTGTAATTTTTTCAGCAAATTCCAAAGAAAATTTGGCAGACAGCAAGCCGGCAAATGAATCGTCAAAATAAGCACTGGTTGTTCGTTATGATCGTTACTGTAATATCTTAGTTTTGTAATTGTCAGACTGCGGACTATCCCTCATTTTTCTGCAGACTCCATGTCAAAAGCTTAATTCTACCTCGATGACTTGGTGGCAGTTACGTCTGTGTCAAGGATACAGCAAACCTTTGTCATCAGTAGCGCTCATCTACCGCACATGAGTGGAAACACTGTGTATTAGAGCAATGAACGAGGTACACCCCGTGAACTTTACATAGATTTAAATCACCATGACGGAGATCTTGCCAGTACACAAGAGATATTAAATAAATATTGGATGCCCACTAAGCATAACACAGAAACTGAAACGGAGCAAGCACCACAATCTATCTGTAATGGTGGGAATCCCTCCAGAAATCCAAGAACATCAATCATAAAATGACTAAGATCAACTGTGGCGATTTTAAGCATAGTGCTAGGAACTAGCTTTGCATCAAAGTGACAACCAACAAGTTTTATTTAACAGGTATAGTATATAATCATGAATATATACATTCGCGGATTTTGAATTTACTCAGATCGTCTAGTCAAGAATGGCAAATTATGTATCCTATGAGCAAAGCAAAATAACGGCAATAGATATGTGCCTTAGTCCAATGAATATCTTCAAAAACGTAACTGATTAACTGATTTACAAAGCAAATGTCTAGTACGTCAGACATATATATCATTGATGATGCACACCAGCTAGAGCTGATTTAATACGTAAATCTGGGGTTAATAATCGACGAAAAAATAATGTCAATTAATATACTCTTGAATATGCTAATGTAACACAGCGGCTTACCCAGTCCTTATCATAGATGTAATTTAGGTGTTCTTATAAATAGCTTGGTCGGAAGGACGCGGGCTGTCCACTTACATAGATGTATTAGGTGTTCTTATAGCTGTCGCGAGAGCGTGGCTCCTACTCTATACATAATGTATTAGATGTCTTTAATAGCTATGTTGGAAGTAGTTGTCTTCCTCTATAAATATGACGAAAATGTTTATTGCTATACGTATAAAAACCTGACTTCTGTGATGAGCTATCTTCTAGGTATGTGTTACACTGGTAGCTCCTGACTACTGTATACCTACTTAACATAGTAACATGTCAAAGTCCGGCAGCTGCCTCGTCCTGATTGGTTGATAATTACTCAGACATCTCACTGTCAGTGACTTCATCTTTGGCTTCTGTGAGAGACAGAGTCAGCCCACAAAGACTCTCTATCTCTGCTTAGCCTCGTCAAATACAACTTCTGCTACATGTTCCCCTACAGCATGAGACAGGTAAGTCTGCTACATGTTCCCCTACAGCATGAGACAGGTAAGTCTGCTACATGTTCCCCTACAGCATGAGACAGGTAACGTACATGTTTTCCCTAACACCATAGACAGGTAAGTCGCAGACCATGTCCGCTACAACATGAGAAGGTAACCTGCTACATGTTCCCTAACAACATGAGACAGGGTAAAGATGCTACATTGTAACATGATCCTCTA